AGGTGGTCCTGGTGAGGTTAGAACCAAACTATTGTATTCTGGTCTCATCAGACTAAAGATGTGCCCCCAGTACTCATCAGGCATCTTTTCATGTTTGTTACCAAAGTTTATTCACGCTGAAAAAGAAGGAATGGTTTATTTTCTTGGATGTTGTCCTTGTTCACGGGTAATTTCATATCCATATGCACGCAATTAGGCTCATCAGAAATCACAGGTGTAGTCCATTTTGTTCCAATTATCCTTAGTTATCCAATTAGTGTGTCAGTAATCACTTTTGTTGAACTAAGTTTCTACTCTGGAGCTTTTATATTCAGTATTTTAATGCAGCGCTCAAATTTCTTAAATTATTTAGTATTTTTATTTAAATGAAATTTAGGGCCGCACAGTTTAACTGGATGCAGACAAAACAAAATTGATACTGAAGGCAGACAACTGAGGTCAGAGAATGAATGCTTGTTTACTGCCTATTAAGAGACACCTGGGACTCCATTCAACATAGGGCTGTTCGATATAACGATATATATTGGATGACGATATAAAAACGTCTATCGTTTCATTTTACGCTATCGTTTGTTTCGTGGTGTCGGAAAATAAACTGTTTAAGGCAATATTTTTTCACCGTTTTGATGGTCACTGTAGTGGCTATATTAATTTCTTAAAGTTCTCTCTTTCTCTTATATTTAATATAACCACACTACGGACGGACAAGCGCCTGTTTTTATGCGTTGTGGTTAGCAACAACGACGGTAACACCATCGCGTGTCCGCTTGTTTATGTACCACATAAACCATTCACAATAAAGCTCAAGATCCTGTTGAGACTTTTCAAAATAAACTGAATCACGTGAAAGAGCAGATTATTTACGAATGAGAAGTAAAAAAGAGCCGCCAGGTGCTAAAAAATAAACCTTAGACTCAAACGTTAGAACAGACTTTTCCCCGCAGCACGCCGTGTAATAAATACAAAGAATTTATTCCACAAATAAGTAGTCACATGAAGTCACAGAGAACTGAGGGTTCAGAAAGTCATTGAACTAAAAAGCCATTCAGCTACAGCAAATTATGTTTCTAAGACAAATCTCAGAAGGCTGTAAAAGGAAGTTTCATTTTGATGTGTTATGAATTTTATGGCAGAAGGCTGGGTTATATGTTACAGCTGTACCACAAGATCAAAGATCTGTCACTCTCTCATTATGAAACTTTCTGCACATATTGAGCTGACATCCTGAAGTCAATGAAGCCTTTTTCTTGACTCTTTGTTGACTGGTCTTTTGTAATTATCTTAATTTGGACTGTACATTATATGAAAGGTCTGCATCTGGCATTGATGTTTGATTAAATTTAAACATCTCAAGAAAACCTAATGAGCCTGGATAGTGACTGGTGGTACACCAAATCTGTTTGGTGCCACAATTAATTACTATGTCATCAGTTGATATTGATATTCATCATGATATAAACCAAATCAGTACTTCTGTTAAAGGTTAAAAGTGAGATGTGAACATACAATGGTTAATTTTGGTTTGTTTATTATTCATTTTCTGTCAGGAACTGAACATGACACATGTACGACATGTATTTCAATGAAGTAACATAAGCATCTATTATAAACTAAAACCTTAATTCTGACAATTTCAGATTTGGATCAGATGCCCAATTTGACCACACTTGATGTAACAGTGAAGGAAGACAGAAATGTTCAACTTTCTACACATAGCTGGGGAAGTGCGGTCTAATAGAAATGTTTAAGGCTATGGCGTTAGTAACTAGGGTTGTGCAATAGCATAGAATTAGCAAAAACACCTGTATAATTGTTTTTGTGATCTAGATGTTTAATATTGCGATATCATTGCTAAGGCAACAGGTTGCTTTTACATTCCTAGTGCACAATGATGACAAAAGATGAAACAAGGGCATGTCAGAGAGCGAGAGCAGTGCATGGATTTAGAAAAGGAGCTACTTTGACAACCTCCACCAAATCACTTACCCTGACTTAACAACCCAAGATGACAATAGTTTGGTTCTAAACAACTGTAAAACATTTCATCTGTACTGCCACTGTTCTGTGTTTATGACTCACTACATAAGCCATACAGACCATCGATCAGTCTTTCAGTTTGTATGGCTGCAGAGACCCATAGATTAAGTGCTGCGGGTGCGTCAACCTAACATGCTGTAGTTTTAACTCTCTTCCAGTCACATGAATAGTTCAACTTAGCGGTATTCTCATCATAATTAGACTTTCTTTGCTGTCTATCAAGCTATTGATGGAATGAGTTCTATCAAATTAATATTGAACATTTTTTTATTGAAGAAAGTTATTTTTGACAATTATCATTTTAGCACTCACTGCTACAGTAAATCAAACTGAAACATAACATAAGCGTCCTGTTAAGGACTAACTCTCTGTGTCAAAGTGTAGATTATTTATTTTGAGTTGTTCTTTTTTGCATTGTCATATTTTATGCATTATTTCTTAAATTTAAATACCTTAAGATTTTATGAATTCCTGGTCCTTTAAGAAGAAAGAAAGTGTACTTTATTGATCCCCGTGGGGAAATTCCTCTCTGCATTTAACCCATTCACTCAGTGAAGCAGTGGGCAGC